AGCGTTGGGTGGGTAGCAGCTGCAAGGAGACAACAGAGAGGCGTGTAAGACTGCGACCTTGCATCCTGGACTCAACTCTGGGTTGTCATAGTCCAGTGGAATAGCCCTTTTTATCCCTTTTGGTCTAGTGACAGGTGCTGGAATGCAACTTTAAAACAAGCGTGTTCAGTCTTCTTCCTCTATATTAAAGCATTATTGATGTTAGAAGCACCAGCGAGAAGAGGAAGTGGCCCAACACCTCAGGACACTATACAAAATATAACTGGAAATCATCAAAGCAAAGATGTAAGACACAGCTATTCAGCTGTCAGACATATCTAAGTGGATTAGGGAGTCATTTTGAAGTAAGCCTGCCATGGGCTGACTGTGGAGTTCACAGCTGTATCATGGAGGAAAAAATAAATATAGGATTGGATTCAGCTTTGGACCAGGGTAGAGCACATTAGGGACATTATTATGAAGTGAAGTTGAACTGAAGTTAGTAACCATTATTTTCATCAGTTATTCAGCAGATTACTTCCTTGATGAGTTAATAGTTTTGTTTCTAAAGTGATGAAGTTGTAAAAATGCATCAGTCAGTTCCTAAAGCCCAAATGTCTTTGTGATGCCTTTTAGTCCAAACGGCAGTTCATAACCTGGAAATTCTCTCCAGAAATGCAGATTAATTTTCTGTCTGATCTACTAATTAACTGGCTGATCGTTTCAGCCATATACCGTGGGAACAGCTTTCAAACCAGGCAGCCTCAGAGTATGTCTGTATCAGACAGCATCTTCAAGTGAAGAGGAAAGTGAAACTATGTGAAGAGCAGATGGTATTTGAGGGTCGGCTTATGTCTTTGAAGTTTGTGACACAGGCTGGCAGAAGACTATTGTGTTGGCAGCGTGAATGACCAACCTGTTCAGCTACTTCACTGGTGCATGCAGAACGCACGCTGCCTGCTGGACTGCAGCCAACGGCCATGCAGAGCCACAGAGGCGGTACTCTTTCTTATGGTCATGAATCACTGCAAAAAAAAAAAGAGGTGTCTGGGTTTTTGTAGAACAAGGGTTTTCAAATGACAGAGACCCAGGGACCACCATTCTGACTGAGGAGGAGTATATACATTTGAGTACTTGCCAGTCCTAAGTACAGATATGAGTACCAAACGACTCCAGAGAAAGGTTATTTTCAGCTTGTTTACTTTCTGATTGTAAGAAAATACAATATACAACAGGAGGCTGTTGCTGACATCTGAAAATTAGCATAAAACTTTCTATGGAAACAAACATGACACTGCCACCGCTCTAATTAAATGTAACTTGTAACTGACTGATTTGCACCTGAAATTCATAATCAACTGTTGAAATTTTGGTGTGAAAAAGAGGCGTGGCTTTTAGAAGTAAGACTCTGTCTTTCTCATTGTCTCCACTTTCTTCTTCTGCTCAATATTCAGATTCGAGTTGTGCGTGCTACAAGGTCAGAGCTGTGAGGCAATGGCCTAGTTTTTCGTTTTGCCAGGGCTCCTCCTTTCCTCATTTCCTTATCCTCTGTCAGCGCTTTCACAAGTTCACCCTGCATGCTCAAGTTTCAAGATTAGAAGGAAACCGTCATGTTCTTGTGGCTGCAGATAGCCAAAGTGGCTGACTGACTTAGGACTAACTTATATTTCCAAAGCAATATTTTTTCCAGGGAAAGCCGACTGAATGTGCCTGACCTTTTCCAGGACACCCTGCATTTAATCCACTCTTTTAAACACATTCATAGGTGAGAGCTGCCCCTGAGCAGCTACACTGAAGGAGGGTGGGTCAGGTGGGTCTTTTATCAAGAACACAGTGATAAGTGTTTTTGTTTAGTTGTTATTTTGCTGGGTTTTGTGCAGATGTCAGTGTAATTACCCTGCTCCCCTATGGTTTTTCTCAAGATGACACCCAAATCAAGTTACCACTAATCTAGGACATGCTGCTTTAGGAAGGTCTTTACTATTCCTTCTGTTTGCTGGTTATGCTGACAAGCCAATGATTAGGGTTTGTACTTGCTAGTGTAGTACTTGCTGCATGTGTGCAAAATGCCCGTTATATAAATATCAAAAAACACAACCACAGGCCTCTTGACGTTGGACTAGAGCCTCTCAGCAGGGAAATGGGCTTTGCCTGTAGCAGCTGACAAAGGCAAACAGGGCTTGTAACATGCTCTTTAGCTTTTGACCACGGTGAATGTCTGTGTGAGAGCTTGTTATTGCTTTTGATCCTGTGTCTGCCCTCCTTGTCTACTGAAGTCCATAGTTCATTCTGCTGCGTTTGGGTTTCTGACAAAAAAGAAACACTACAATAATGGAACTCTGAGTGTTCCCATGTAGCAGACGTTTCCCTTACACTAGATTTGTGATTTAGTACAGAACAGACTGAAGTGTTGCCAGTGTGTTTTTGAAGTTCAGGTTTGTATAGATGAGTGAGAAATTATAAGATAAACCTGAATAAATACATGGTTTCTTCCAGGGTGATAGTTCCCCCATCCATAGGGCACAAGAGGCCACTGAATGATAGGAGTGTGAAAATGATGTGAATCATATGCCTTCACAGTCATTAGACTTAACCCCAGTTGAACTCCTATGGAAGATTTTAAACCGAATTGTTAGACAGCGTCTCCACCACCATCATCAAAATGCTAAATGAGGGACTAGCTTTTGGAAGAATGGTGTTCTTCCCTCCAGTAGAGATTAGAGACTTATGGAATCAATGCCTGCCCTGCTGTAGCACTGTCTAAGACCTTTTTATTACCATCCTCTCAGTTAAATTGGACATTTTTATTTGCAGAATCGACTACGTTCGCACTGCAGGTCTTAATGCTCAGATCGGATTTTTTGCCGAAATCCGATTTTTTTTGCGCTGTTGTTCACACTGTCATTTAAATGCGACTGCCATCTGTCTCATGTGTGGACGGTATACGGCCCTAAAGTGACCCGCATGCGCAGAAGAGGACGTGA